GCGACCGTTCAAACAGCGCCACAGGAGGATACCACCTGGGATGATACAGGAAGTTAGAGATCATATCCAACAGCTTCTTACTTGTGGTGTTATACGGAAATCACACTCGCCATGGGCATCCGCAGTAGTGTTGGCCAGGGAGAAAGATGGATCCCTAAGGATGTGCATAGATTACAGGCAGCTTAATCAGCATACAGTGAAGGACACTTATGCACTACCAAGGATTGAGGAGATACTTGATTCTCTTTCAGGCTCATCTTACTTTTCTGTGTTAGACATGAAAAGCGGCTATCATCAGGTGGAGATTGAAGAAAGCCATAAGGAAAGGACTGCTTTCACTGTTGGGCCTCTAGGGTTCTACGATTACAACCGAATGCCCTTTGGTCTGGCAAATGCCCCAGCAACGTACCAACGATTAATGGAACAGTGCTTAGGAGAGTTGCATATGGTAGACTGATTCATTTATTTAGAAAATGTGATTATAATTTCGTCTGCATTTGAAGAACACCTGGAGAAAATGGAGAGAGTGCTTCAACGCCTAAGAGAACATGGGATAAAGTTGTCGCCTAAACAATGTTCATTCTTTCAGCAACGTGTGAAATATCTGGGATTTATTGTATCAGCTGGTGGTATTGAGGCCGACCCAGAGAAGGTGGAAAAAATCGCAACATGGAAAACTCCTACTTGTCCAGAAGAAGTGCGACAATTTTTGGGTTTCGCTGGCTATTACCGGAAATTTATTCGGAATTTCGCACGAATTGCCCGACCCCTGACGGATTTGATTCCTGCTCCTAAGAAGACTAAGAAGAACCAAAGTAAGACATATTGGAAATGGGGAAAGGATCAACAGGAGGCTTTTACTAAACTGAAGGATGTACTTTCATCACCACCCATTTTGTCTTATCCAGACTATTCGAAGCCCTTTGAATTACACACAGATGCTAGTCACCAGGGACTTGGCNAAAGTGTACCCTTAATAGAGGAACTGTTCCTTTAGTAGGGAAAGTATACTCTAAATGAAGGAAGTGTACCCTTAGTGAAGGAATGTCCTCTTGGTACCTTAGAGCAAGTGCCCCCCTTGAGTGTAACCTTCCCTAGATGTTAAATGTGACCCTCTCATTTTGGAGTATGACCCTAACATTACAGATTTGTGACCCTGTTGTAAAGTGTGACCTTCACACCTTATATATAAACCTTCCGTTGAAGAGCATGACCTTTATACCTTTTTAATCTTCCGTTGTAGATGTGGCCTTCTGTTGAAGAGTGTGTGACCTTCACACCTTTCATATACCTTCCGTTGCAAAGTGTGACCTTCATACCCAATATATATCTCCCATGGTAAAGTGTGACCTTCATACCTTACATATACCTCCTGTTGTAAAAGGTGACCTTCATACCTCATATATGTGGGCGCCATTGTGAAATTGAGGTTCTTGCACTTGAAGTGGGCTGTCACCGAGAAGTTTAAGGACTACCTGTATGGCCACAGATTATCTGTGTTGACCGATAACAATCCCCTGACTTATGTCTTAACCAGTGCCAAATTAGATGCTACAGGACATAGATGGTTGGCAGCTCTATCTGCCTACGACTTCGATATCAAATACTGTCCAGGAAAATCTAATGTTGATGCCGACGCCTTGTCAAGATTGCCAACGAAGGAATTCCTGGAACGGTTATCAATAGAGGACAGTGTAGCAGCTGTAGGCCAGATTCATCAAGGCCAACCCTATATAGAGAGTATATGCCTAGCAGCGACAACTCCGATTGAGCTAGATCCTTTTACAACAGACCAGGAAATGGACCATTTTAGCCATCATGAGATTAGAGAAGCCCAAAGGAAAGATCCTGTGATTGGACCCTGTACTGAACATGTCATCAGAGGTGTGAAGCCTAAGAGAAGTCAGATGTCTTTAGCATCATGGAATCCTCACCTCTATCGGCTGTTTGACTCTCTCAGGGTCAGCAGAGGGGTATTATATAGGGAAGGAGTTGTAGATGGGGAGCATAGACAACAACTTGTTATCCCTAAGCACCTTATCAACTATGTACTTCGGAGTCTACATAACCAGATGGGACACTTAGGTATCAACAAGACAGTTTCTTTGTGTCGGGACAGGTTTTACTGGCCATCCATGACAGTTGATGTGGAAAAGTGGATTGCTGAGTGTTCAAGATGCCTGAGGAGGAAATCCGCTACCAATGAGAGAGCACCTATGGTGTCCATATCTACGACCCAACCGCTCGAATTAGTAAGTATGGATTTTCTAACCTTGGAACCATCGAAGGGCAATTTTAAGCACATACTCGTAATTACGGACCACTTCACACGATACGCTGTCGCCGTCCCTGCAAAGAACCAGACTGCCAGGACAACAGCAGAATCTTTTGTCACAAACTTCGTCGTTCACTATGGTATGCCAAAAAGGATACATTCAGACCAACAGAGTAAGATGATGAAGGAGCTCTGTCAGTTAACAGGCATTGCACGTTCTAGGACAACTCCATACCACCCACAGGGTAATGGTCAGTGTGAACGTTTTAATCGGACACTGTTGAGTATGTTGGGAACTCTAGAACATTCACAGAAGGCTAACTGGAAGGCTCACGTGTCATCGCTCGTACATGCATACACTGCTACCAGGAATGAGAGTACAGGATTTTCGCCTTTCTTCCTGATGTATGGACGTGAACCAAGATTGCCAGTAGATCTTGCATTTAACATCGAGCGAGAACATTCCAAGGCCAGTTCGTTCTCTGCTTATGTTGAGGAGTTACAAAAGCGCCTTAAAGAATCATACACTATAGCTCTATCTAAGGCAACACAGTCCCAAGAGAAACAGAAGGAAGGATATGACAAGCGCATTCGGGGGGCTTGTATTTCAATTGGAGACAGAGTATAAGTGAAAGTTGTTGCCTTTGACGGAAAACATAAGTTAGCTGATAGATGGGAGGAGGATAGTTATACTGTACTAGACCAACCAGATGCCTCTATGCCGGTATATGTGGTACAGAAGGAGAATGGTCAAGGAAGAAAGCGTACCCTCCACCGTAACCTTCTCCTGCCTATTGGATATCTGAATCCATCTTTAGAGCCAACTTCAGCAGATGCAACAGAACCCATCCAAAAGCCGAGACCAACACCCAAACCCCGTCTTAGATCCCGTCCATCACCACCACAGAGCTCATCTGTAGATGCCAGTGAAGGGACCGGATCTAGTAGTGATGATGGAGAAGGGAGTGTGTGGGTGGCGGTGCCTTCAGTACAGCGAATGCCACGTGGCGTTACAACCAACGCAGCAGATGTCATTCCTGTCCATGAGTCGACCATGGAAGAACCCACTGAAGATGATCCTCCTATCGAGACGCCGGAAAGTCAAGAGGAGGAAGTGCAAAGTGGTGAGAAGGCAAATGATCATAACAGAAGTGTCAGTCCAGCCAGATCGGTAGACGAACAGAGATCTCCAGTTATCCGGAAGTCTGGGAGGGTTCGCCGGAAACCAGTACGGTTAGATGACTATGTGATGGTTATGGATGGAAAGATGGTGCCACAGTGGACTAAGAAAGCGGAATATCTTAGATCCCTTGCATCACAAGAAATGTTCACCCCGGTAGCAGACAAGATTTTGACAGCCATTATTTCTATTGTAACTGCCCCAGATTAGATTACTAAAGTATAGCATTTGTATTTTGTACATCCTGAGTCTATCTAGTTTGTTTAATGCAATATATTTTAATTGATATTAATGTTTTTTCTATGACTTCATTGTAATCATGTCGAGGACGACTTTTTTCGAACAGGGGGTGTATGTGGCACCCTGTTGTATTAAGTGAATATTATATATATTTAGGTTTTAATTTGATTAAGTTGGATTTGAAAGAAAATAAATACTTCACTATGGAAGATTGTTAAGTAAGTTACATTTTCTGTTCGTGCCGCTGTATCACGTGACCCGTATTTCCGCTTTCCGTATACTTGTTATTATGGCCCGTATTATGCACATTGTATAAGTACATGTATGTGATTGTGTAACACCTGTGATATCATGTGTTATGTGTTGTATTCTTTTGTTGACCAGACTGACCACTTTGGACGTGCATGTGCAATGCGACGCTTATTTTATTTCCCGCTTTTCTCTCTCTATTTCTTCACTTGGGCACTTTATTTACAAGGGGTCAGACCTACATTGTATAGATGAGTTTTTCCTAAGTTTGAAGATCGATGGCATAAATTGATTATTCATCCAATATATCCTCAGCACCACATGCAGGGTAAGTTATTTACAGAATGTGTATTTAATTAATTTAGCATTATTTGATAAATTATTATTTGGTAAATTATTGTTTTAGACTTACGTAAATTCCTTTGTGTAAATTAGTTGCAAGTCAAAGTAAAATATTATAAGTTACATTCTACACTGAGAATGTTCTATAATTCATTTGTATGTAACGATACAGTAACTCCATTTTTATCTAGAAGTCATAGAATTGTGTTGACGTCCTTTTAAATATTCCATTGTTCGCGTTATGTATTGTAAAAGTTAATGTTCAGTGTGTTCGATAGGAAATATGTTTAATATGTGTCTGTATTGTACAACTAGTGTTTTTACATTATTTTAGGGATTTTCCATACGGATTCTCCATACGAATAAAGCAAAAGAAACGCAATATTTGTCGTCGAGTACTTTGTGCAAGTGCAAGAACCTCAATTTCACATATATACCTCTCTTTGTAGAGTGTGACCTTCATACCTTATATATTCCTCCCGTTGTAAAGTGCGAACTTCATACCTTATATATACCTCTCGTTGTAAAGTGTGGCATAAGCTCACTTGGCCCTTCGGACCAGGTGAGCTTAAAATGTGGAAACAAGGGATGTCACAATTAGAAACTGCTATTGTGATATTGCAACTGACAATGCCGTTTGTTATTTTTCACTTTGAGTTTTAACTGTAAAACTAAGTATCACAAGTAACAAAGTAATGAAGCTTCCTTCTACATTTTATTTGTGAATGTCTATCAGGAAATATAATAAATTTACATACACATTAAAACATAAATAAATATCACATTTTGTTCATGATCATCCTAACAAGTTTGAAACAGCATATACTAGAACATACCATTTTTACCAACATGCCGATCACTTACTTGCGGTCAACTTTCCCCTCCTTTGGTAATTTACTCATGATGACACATATTTAGCGATTCCATGATACTCATCTATTCTCTCATATTTACTAAATCATTCATCACAACATCCATTTTTTCAATATTCAAATTGAAATGAACCATTTCACCACTATTAAAACACTCCTATAGAGATAGGATCCAGCCAGATCTCATTAATCTTCCTTGGTAATAACAGTAAACTGACTTTTTCCTTATATAATGTTATTTTACAAAGGAACTGATGATTTTTTCTGAATTACTTTTAATCAATGAAGACTATGGTGAGAGCCATAAGATGGTGAATTAATGGAGAACTGTCCACTGGATGGTGCAAAGTTACCTCCCCTAAAGGGGGTAGAGCTACTGAACTCATGGGAATGACCGCTACTGTGCGAGTGACCACTACCATGGGAGTGACCAATGTTATCGTGAGAATGACCTTGACTTGTAGTGTCAAACGATGAAACAGACAGCGGCGAGGAAGGTAACTTCCCTGAAGTATGAAAAGCATCCACAGCAGGTGATGGACCCCGGGGCTGCCCCATAGATGAGGAGGAGAAACTTGATGGGAATCCTTGGCTACTTAGCATGTTGTAGCTGGACCGAGTCCAATCATCCTTAAATATCTGGACAGTCAGATGATTCACAAGGTTTGAGAGTCGGTTGTATACATGTGCCAGCACCATCTGTTCATCAGCATCGCGACGGACACGTACTTGAACTGATCCAGCCTATGTGGGAAAGACACAGAAAATCAATGTAGAGTTCCTCAATAGTACACTAAAAACCTGTCTAGAGAGATACATATACAAACATCCGTGAAGTTTCATCAAGATATGATCAGTGGAACAGAAACTATTAACCAAACAAGAGATCCTAGAAGGATCTTGGCACCCACCATCAAAGGATCTTTATCAGATCAACAAAAGAAAATCTTTTACCTTCTCTGCTCTTCACTTGTAAATGAAATAAAATAAATGAAATGAAATACCCAGTCCCATGTTAGATATTTTAAACAGGAGTCTTGTACAATACCTTACAAAACTTACTAGACAGCCGAAGGACAGGGTCCAAAAGTGTTCATGTCGGAACTCTAGTACACCATCCAAAGTGGAAGCTTCCCGAAGAAGTTTGTCCAACTGTCCAAGAATGTGAGCTGGAGATGTCTGTATTAATAAATCCATCAAAAACAAAGTTTTACACCCATTTTTTAAAATCACCAACAAAAGAAGTCAATTTACATTGAAGTCCATCCAAATAGTGCATGAAAATTGTCCAAATTTTGGAACAAAAATATGTTATAGTTTATGCATAAACAAGATTCTGTATTTTGAAAGCCAATGTTACTTGCAGTAGTATTTAGGAAGCACAAACCTTACAGTTAGTAACATTTAATAGCCTTACCTGTAGTAACATTTTTATTTGCCTTACCTGTAGTTAAATTTTTATTTGCCTTTACCTGCAGTTACATTTTTATTTGCCTAACCTGTAATAACATTTTATTAGCCTTACCTGTAGTTACATTTTTATTTGCCTTACCTGTAGTTACATTTTTATTAGCCTTACCTGTAGTTACATTTTTATTTGCCATACCTGTAGTTACATTTTTATTAGCCTTACCGGTAGTAACATTTTATTAGCCTAACCTGTAGTTACATTTTTATTTGCCTTACCTGTAGTTACATTTTTATTAGCCTTACCTGTAGTAACATTTTATTAGCCTAACCTGTAGTTACATTTTTAATTGCCTTACCTGTAGTTACATTTTTATTAGCCTTACCTGTAGTAACATTTTATTAGCCTTACCTGTAGTTACATTTTTATTTGCCTTACCTGTAGTTACATTTTTATTAGCCTTACCTGTAGTTACATTTTTATTAGCCTTACCTGTAGTAACATTTTATTTGCCTTACCTGTAGTAACATTTTATTAGCCTAACCCGTAGTTACATTTTTATTTGCCTTACCTGTAATAACATATATATCTGCCTTCCCTGTAGTAACGTTTTGTAAGCCTTACCTGTAATAACATTCTATGAGACTGAGCCTTACCTGTTGTAATTCTAATGACCCTTGTCTGTACCAATACTTTATAAAACTTAACTATAGTGATATATAGTTTATATATCATCTGTACCACTACATGTACTACAGGTAAAGCTAAAAAAATACTTCTACAGGTAAAACCTGTAGTGGTATTTTGTTTACTTTACCTGTAATGATATTTTGTTTGCTTTACTTGTAGTAGTATTTTGTTAGCTTTACTTGTAGTAGTATTTTGTTAGCTTTACCTGTTGTTTTATTTTGTTAGCTTAAAATTTAAGCTAACAAAATAAAACAACAGGTAAAGCTAACAAAATAAACTACAAGTAAAGCACACAAAATACCATTACAGGTAAAGCTAACAAAATACTATTACAAGTAAAGCTAACAAAATATCATTACAGTTAAAGCTGCTTTAACTGTAATGATATTTTGTTAACTTTACCCGAAGTAGTATTTTGTTAGCTTTATCCGAAGTAGTATTTTGTTAGCTTTACCTGATGTAGTATTTTGTTAGCTTTACCTGATGTAGTATTTTGTTAGCTTTACCTGATGTAGTATTTTGTTAGCTTTACGCGTAGTAGTATTTTGTTAGCTTTACCTGTAGTAATATTTTGTTAGCTTTACCCGTTGTATTATTTTGTTAGCTTTATCTGTAATGATATTTTGTTTGCTTTACTTGAAGGAGTATTTCGTTAGGTTTACCTGTTGTATTATTTAGTTAGCTTTACCTGTAATGATATTTTGTTAACTTTACCCGAAATAGTATTTTGTTAGCTTTACCGGAAGTAGTATTTGGTTAGCTTTACCTGTAGTATTATTTTGTTTACTTTCACATGTAGTAGTATTTTGTTAACTTTACCTGAAGCAGTATTTTGTTAACTTTATTTACCTGTAGTGGTATTTTGTTAGCTTTACCTGTAGTAGTATTTTGCCAGTGTAAGCACTCATTGGGAACATGGTGCCACAGATCATGACAGCTATTGATATGGCAGCCCACGTATCTGCTGAGTAGTACATCCTGTGTAAAGATTGAAAGCAAAATGATAAACTTTTCAACATTGCAACAGAACAACAAAGAGTGGATTTTCATTATGAAATATAAAAACTTCAATCTGAATGCTTTACAAACATACTAGAAATTATTCAAAGTTTTGTTTATGCTTTTTATCTTATATATCGTAGATTATGACCACATCAATCCTATGCATCATATCAGTGTAATACACACAAATGAAAGTTGACAGTCATCCTGTGTAGCATTTTAAAGATAATGATAACAACTACAAGAGGCCCATGGGCCTTAACAGTCACCTGAGTCCTACAGTATTTATCTTTGTTGTTGAAATATGTACCAACTTGAGTAAAAAATAGTTAAGTATAACGTTAACTTAGTTTGTCAGGACCATGAGTCGATCATTCCTAGACCGAGTTTCATCGGCCTATTACAACTTGTTTTAAAGTTTGAAATAGTTATTTTTAAAATAGCAGCCGTGGCAGCCAAATTGGATTTCTGATCGACCCGAAAAATACAAACACTTTGTCAGGACCATGAGTCGATCATTCCTACAAAATTTCAGTTCAATCGGCAAAGCAGGAATTGACTTTAAGTTTGAAATAGTTTTTTTCAAAATAGCCGCCATGGTGGCCATATTGGATTTCTGATCGACCAAAAATAACAACACTTTGTCAGGACCATGAGTCGATCATTCCTACCAAGTTTCAGTTCAATCGGCCACGCAGAAGTTGACTTCAAGTTTGAAATAGTTTTTCAAAATGGCAGCAGTGGCAGACATATTCGATTTCTGATCGACCCGATAAATAACAACACTTTGTCAGGACCATGAGTCGATCATTCCTACAAAGTTTCAGTTCAATCAGCCTAGCAGAACTTGATTTTAAGTTTGAAATAGTTTTTTTCAAAATGGCGGCCATGGCGGCCATATTGGATTTCTGATCGACCCAAAAAATAACAACACTTTGTCAGGAACATAAGTTGATCATTCCTAACAAGTTTCAGTTAAATCGGCCAAGTTGAGCTTGACTTTAAGTTTGAAATAGTTTTTCAAAATGGCCGGCCCTGGCGGCCGTATTGGATTTCTGATCGACCTAAAAAAATAGAACACTGACAGGTCAGTAAGGGCCCCGTCTTGTGGCAATATATCCCCCATAATCATCAAGAAGCAATCTGCCGATATAGCTGAGCTTGACGTTTGACATTTGGACTTCAAAAAGAATCGCAAGGAAGCAAAATATACATTTTTCATGTACTATGATGTGAGTCTTGTTTCCTTCCACCTCCATATTTGCTGGGCTAACAGAAATGTAAATACCGGTGCAATACTCATTTGTTAGCTTTGATTTGTTTTATTTCACCTTATATACCTCCTCCATCAAGAGCCAGGGTCAAAGTCAGAGATCCACTTTGTCTTTGACCTTTGGACCAGAATGACCTTGACCATTAACCCAGTGACCCTGATCTTTGGTCAGTTGACTTATTCTTTAATTCCGAGCAACTTTGCTTCTTAATATCATAACAAAATGTTAATCAGTAAAAAATACAAAACTTGACCTTGACCCTTTGAACCCTTTAACCTGGACCTAAGGTCAGTTGACTCTGTGTTAAGTTCTGAACAACATTGCTTCATAATAACATAACAAAATATTCATCAGGGTAAAGGTACAAAATTTAACCTTCACCTTTGACCCAGTGACCTTGACCTTTGGTCAATTGACTCCTTGTTTAATTCTGATCAACTTTACTTCATCATGTCATAACAAAATGTTCATCAGTGAAAAGATGCAAAATTTGACCTTGACCTTTGAATATAATGGCCTTTACCTTTGACCTCGACTTTTTACCTCAGTGTGTCTCTTTGTTTAATTCCGAACAACTTTGCTTCATCATGTCATAGCGATACGGGGCCCTAATAACAACACTTTGTCAGGACCATGAGTTGATCATTCCTACCAAGTTTCAGTTGAATAGGCCCAGTTGAACTTGACTTTAAGTTTGTAATATTTTTTCAAAATGGCTGCCATGTCGGCCATATTGGATTTCTGATCGATTAAAAAATTAACAACACTTTGTCAGGACTATGAATTAATCATTCCTACCAAGTTTCAGATAAATCGGCCCAGTAGAAGTTGACTTAAGGTTTGAAATAGTTTTTCAAAATGGCGGCCGTGGTGGCCAAATTGGATTTCTGATTGACCCAAAAAATAACATCACTTAGTCAGGGAGTTGTCAGTAACATTCCCATGAAGTATCAATGAAATCCCTTTGACAGTATTTCAGCTTAAGTTGAAAATGTTAACTGACGACGGACCATGGACGACGCACAACGACGGACGAAGACGGATAGCAATAGGTCACTTGAGCTAAAGCTCATGTGACCTAAAAATAGTATAAAGTTATACAGTTGTTCAGAGGGAGGGTGCCTAGCCAGAAGGTGTGTAGGTTATACTTACTTGGTGTCTATGAGGATGTAAGTTATACAAATCGCTAGGCCACCTGTAAACCCAATGAGGGCAAGGGGATTGATTCTTGGTAACAACAGCTTACTGAGACCTGGGACAACATGACACAAACTGAAACAGACACCATCAAATATAAAGTTAAAATCTGAATGCATTTTTTTTTATGTCAAATGTGACCCTATCTTGACTTTCCCAATAATAAGTAACATCATTTGAGTTCAATACAGACTATAGTATAAAGATATGTATAAAGTTCATGTAAATGTACAAGTACAATCAAAAGAAATGATTCTATCTTTTATTTTTCAGAGTTTATTTGACATCATTGCTGAAATTCTGTTTGATGTTTAAAATAAAGAATATTAATGACAATACCTCAAAATGAAAAAAAATCCTAAGTACTGTATGTACAAACTAAATGTTTGTAAGTATGTACAAACTAAAAGACATTGTATTTTATGAGTTAATGTTTACTTCATTGTAGAAGATTAACATCTTATTTATGATGTTATTTTTTGTATTTTTGTTTGTTATGCTCACCTTTCACTCATATCAGTCATGTGTTCCTGTAACCAGCTGGAGCTGGAAGCATCAATCACATGGTTCATCGCACGGTTGTTTACACTGTAGGCTACAAACATGTGCAAAGTGAATGCAAACACTGTTCCCACCAATAGTCGTCCCCTGTTGAAAGAAATTCAAGCGATTTGAACCTACAGCAATAAGGCGATATCTGGCTAAACAGTTCTACAAAGGGTTAGTAACAAGGGAGATAACCAGTAATACAATCAACTCCCAAACCTTATTCGCATTCCGTATTAATGGAAAGTGTGGTAACAGCCTAGTAACTTACATATTCTTTACTGTAATAAGATATTGCATCAATCTAGTTTTGATTATCTTTGTTGTTTTAAATCATTCTGTTAGTAGTATATGTTTTTGTTTGTTCCTAGCTATGTAATATTTCATAACTATTAATATTGTTGAAACTGTGTCCTGAATGATTTGCATTCCTAATTATCATTAGGCCATCAACAGAGAGCAAATATATGTTAATCAATAAACAGGAAACAGAAATGAATGGGAAAGTAATGTAAAGGTTTATATGGTTATTTTCTAAATCTGATATCTACACAGTTTGTCATTCTTAAGACATCAACCTTTCAAAATAATCAAACAAAAGTTTACCACACAAAAAAAACACCTCAAATTGTAGAACATTAACTCAAACACATTAAATCTAAACAAGAGACCCTGGCACCGTAATATCACACTAGAATGTTACTTTGATTGTAAAACCTGTAACAACCTTGGCCAATCCTGGGAGCATGAGTGGCTTTGTCTCTTCATGCTCAGTGATTGCGTGAATGGGTTATAGATTGGGCGTCTCAACAATTTCAAAGTTATGATACTAGGACAAAGTCTCCAGGGATGAGGCCAGTCCCTGGAACCTTCCTGGAACCATGATTGTTTTTGTCATTTCATACTTAGCATTTTTTGTGGAGACTTATGGAATATGTCCCTTTGGCCAATCCTCTTAACATGGATGTTTTCATCTTTTCCTGCCCTATACAAGTGCATGTGGTCATATATGTTGGGGATCTTATTATCCCACCCTTCACAGGTGTGTCTCCCGTTTTAGTCGGGAAAGATCAGCTTGTCACCCCCTAGGGGGAGATAGCCTTGTGCTGATTAGCACGTGTTCAATTGTGACGTCATTAAAATGTGTCATCGGTAATTGTGACGTCATCAAAAGTGAATGACGATATGTATACCCCACATGTGTTTTGTTTACAATCATGGCAGACTACTGTCGGTGTAGCTGTGACTGAAATAATAGGATGGGAGAAAAATAATCACCCCCTACCTTGAGGGTGTAACAAAGAAATCTCCAACCCTCGGGGTGATTTGTTTGGTTGTCTAACATCACCCCTCGGGTTGGAAATTTCTCTGTCACACCCTCAGGGCATGCACAGGGGAAGATTCTATTAATCATTTGTAATTAGTACAGTTTTTTACCCAACATTCCTGTTTTAGCAGTCCACTGCTTCAGCCCAAGAGGCTGTTATATCTTCATTTGTAAAAAATATCAGTTTGCCTTAGTGATATCTCAAACCAAATTAGTTACAATCTGTGCAGTTGTTCAGGATGGATTTTAAAGTAAAAATACCCCTAATTCATATTGTAAGCTACAACCCTCTGGCCCAGGAGGGTTCAGTCTTTATTTACACAGAAATAATGACCCGGTAACATTTCAGATAAAATGTAGAAACAATATTTCTAGTCATTCAGGAAGGAGTTGGTTTTTGAAGATGAAAATTTTGCACTATGTTGGGACCACCTTGTGTCATTCCCTTCTGGCTCAATTGGTATTCAAACAAACATCATTTATACAACATATCATCACCTTGCCTCACTTATGTTTCATACCAAATATGGTAAGAATTGTGTAGTCCTTTAGGGGAAGTAGTCTTTTAAAGGCTGAATTCGCTGATTTCCTCTATATTGGGGCCTACTCCTTAGCTCCTAGGAGACAATGCACTTCCATTACACAAATTTGATTCTTTATTGTCAAGGACGCAACATAGTAAATTTGGTTAAAATTTGATCAGTTGCGTGTAAGGAGTAAGATTTTAAAAGAAAAAGTTGACAGAAGCATCCTTTGTCAAACAGTAACACAAAACACAAAAACACTTACAGGTGGATGTCAGGCTGTTGGATCAGTCTTTCTATGCTGAAATAATAACACACAGATGCATATCACTGCAAGGGAAATAACTCTCAACAATTTTTGTAAGACGGGCCATGTTTTAATTATTGTTGTTAAATCTTTGACTAACTCCACCTACGTTTTATTGGTTGGAGGGTAAGTCAGATATTTTATTAAATTTACTGTCATTTCCACCGATTTCAATTATAATAATTATGAACGCACTAGAATAAAGTTGTCAACAATAAGTTATATATATAGTGGCAGTGACATATCACCTGCTACATCACAGTAGATAAATATAAGCCACAGTATATATACAGCAGTTGCATGGCCAAATAATGCTTGATTTACAATGCTTGGTACCAAATTCGTTTGAAAAAACTTTCTTCAAGGATAGCATTAATTCAGCTACTTGTGTCATATATATCTTAGGTTATATTGCATGTGACATGTTCCTGTGTATAAAGTCACAACGTGAAGTGTTTTCATTAAAAGTTGGGGGGCGACAAAAGTAGCATGCTACTCGTTAACTCTGAACTGGCTATATTTTCAGAATACAATAAGATCAGCATTACATCACATGAGCATTCAACCGCCTTTTCCATAATTTCTAAACATTTTCTTCAGGTTGGTAAGTATGGATTATGAAAAGATTCTTGTAACACAACCAATAAGTGTTTTTATGTGACTTGGTCATAGATGTGCGAGACTCTATGAGCCCCTTCATCTCGATTAAGAACTGGCCCATTGCATCGTATCCAAATAACTTTCTTTATCTGCCGCTTGAACAGATTGCTTTATCTGTCCAATTTCATAACGGCTATTCTATCAAAGTCAAACACCTGTTTAAAAACTTATTGTTATCACTGACTTCGAAAGAAAAAGTCAATATTTAGCCTACAGGACATTACAATCATAATATTTTCCCACACAGAAATCCATGCACCTTATTTATAATAATAGATGATATAGACATGAACTAGTATAAATCACACCCACCACATTTCTTCTACAATCCCAGATATCAATAAGTCCCATTTGAATCATCATAGTTCCACACAATATGTTAAAACAGAATATAAATAGAGTAACAGAGGTTATTATTTTTCATTGCCTCCCTTTTAGGGATTGAACCTTATCCTGATATTCTTACAAGAGAAGTGAGCAAAAAGTGCTATATTTTCAGAAAATACTCATCCCAACATTTAACAGGGGTAGCAGCAATAATAATTTTGACAGCAAAACTGAGTATTTTTGTCAATATTTCTCAGGTCCAAATGTGAACCAAGGTAACAGCGGTGATAATTTTTCAGTGCCTCCATGTAATATCATGCCCCGGACCTCTAGCTTATTCGCCTGAAACTCTACAAATAAAACTCATATGAAATTTCCCCAGAAAATTCAGTAAGCAGTGGCTTTTTATTATACCAGGATAACAAAATATGATCTTCATGAACAAACAAAAACACCATACCTTTCTTTGATGACAAACAGGGCTCCAAGTTGGGCTAACATTGTAGAGGCAAACACTGCTAACACTTCAAATCTCCCATATCTGGTGATTAAAATATCATATTTATAGAGGCAAAAACTGCTTTCACTTGAAATCTCTCATATCTGGTGATTAAAATATCATATTTATAGAGGCAAACACTGCTGCTTTCACTTCAAATCTCTCATATCTGGTGATTAAAATATCATATTTATAGAGGCAAACACTGCTAACACTTCAAATCTCCCATATCTGGTGATTAAAATATCATATTTATAGAGGCAAACACTGCTAACACTTCAAATCTACCATATCTGTTGATTAAAATAACATATTTATAGAGGCAAACACTGCTAACACTTCAAATCTCTCATATCTGGTGATTAAAATATCATATTTATAGAGGCAAACACTGCTTACACTTCAAATCTCCCATATTTGGTGATTAAAATATCATATTTATAGAGGCAAAAACTGCTAACACTTCAAATCTCTCATATCTGGTGATTAAAATATCATATTTATAGAGGCAAACACTGCTTACATTTCAAATCTCCCATATCTGGTGATTAAAATATCAACAATGTAGAGGCAAACACTGCTAACACTTAAAATCTCTCATATCTGGGGATTAGAATATCCGATTTATAGAGGCAAACACTGCTAACACTTCAAATCTACCATATCTGTTGATTAAAATAACATATTTATAGAGGCAAACACTGCTAACACTTCAAATCTCTCATATCTGGGGATTAAAATATCATATTTATAGAGGCAAACACTGCTAACACTTCAAATCTACCATATCTGTTGATTAAAATAACATATTTATAGAGGCACACACTGCTAACACTTCAAATCTCTCATATCTGGGGATTAAAATATCATATTTATAGAGGCAAACACTGCTAACACTTTAAATCTCCCATATCTGGTGATTAAAATATCACATTTATAGAGGCAAACACTGCTAACACTTCCAATCTCTCATATCTGAACATTTTAACTCACAAACCAAACAAACCTTAACGTATTTTCATTTAGTGACATAATTTGTGATCTATGATAAACTGGTACTTTGAGACTGAATCAATTGTTCCCCAAACACAAGTAAAATGGTCAGTTCAGTAATGCCCAATTTATTCTTAGTTCTTACATGTATATGTTTCTAGATCATGAAATTCCACGAATGCTTGGAAATGTTCTTTAATCAACGCTACAAAATAAGCTTCAATATATGAAGCCATTATCAAAATAACTTATTTTAGTCCAGTTCACAATGGCTAACGTTGACATGTTTAATCAAAGTTACCCAAAAGAGTATGCTGGCGTTGGTTTCTGCATCTGGACCCAAATGCTCAGGAGACATATCAAAATTCTACAAAAGCATAACACACAATTCACAAATAACACTGCTATATAATAAACTCAAAAGTTCAAAAATAAGCATAATGACCTTGGGGGTCAGTATTCCTCAACGCCCATAAATACAATAACAACACGTCAATTTTAGGAGCAAGTGAATATAAACTTGAGTTAATCTAGCTTTGCTTATTAAATGACAGCGGTTAAATGACTATTATGAATTGTTTTACAACACTTTGTCAACATCATTGATGTAATGTGTGTGTACCATTTTGATATGGATAACATTGATATTTTAAATTGCCATACTCATAGCATAAAGCAAAATTAAAACCTTTCCAATTTCTTCATATATTTAGAAAATTAATTTTCTAAAACTACAGGTACATTAAACATTCCAGAATATTTTTGAAAACAAACACATCATTTGGTCTCATATATCTACATAACACTTACGTGAATATGTCATAAAGTGTTAAGTAGGTGTAGGCAGTGAGAGCTGCAACAGAAAACAATATACATGTATCTGCAAATATAGAACCCCTAAAATTTGAATTCTCAATTATTTGAAAACTGACTTCAAATTCAATTCCTCAAAAACTTAGTGGACTACATTGCACATTTTTGCATTATGGTCAAAGTTGTTTTTTCAACATTAAGTTCTAAGAGATTTTACTGCAATGGTAGACAAATTAAATTCATAAAACAATGAAAACCAACTTCAAAATCAATTGCAGTCATTTTTCCATGATTCTTGCGCAAAAATAGGAAACTGGAAGCTATATCCCAGTGCAAGTGTTGAACTATCAGAGATAATTTATCTTCTTCCTTCTATTAGCTCTTTTCATGGCTCCTTAATAGAAATATTGAATATTATTATGTGCTAAAGTAATTATCCAGGCATGTGGTTCCAAATGAGTTATCTCCCCTCACCCATACTGTCAGATCCATGACACCATATCAACAGAAGCAGAGATCCCAGCACATTCAACCCCAGCACCAGCAGAATTTTCCTTGACTGCCAAACAAATGGAGAAAATTTATAAAATAAAGGGACAAAGTCAATGTGTTGTCTTAAACAAATTGGCAAAAAGTTAAATGACCAAGTAAATAAATAAATGACAAAGTAAATAAATCAACTTAAGTTTAACTACATGTACATTAATATATATTCAGAACTAAAACAGTTTTGACCTAAGGTGCCTTTTTGTTAAACCTTTTTATACATTCTTTTTTTTACAGAAAACAGGATTGTGTTAACATATACATACTACAGATCTGTACATTCGATAACAGGACAAATGTCGCCTACAATAAGAGACTATAATACTTCTTACTGCTCTCTGCTCTATACGACTTACAGCTTTTATCCTCATCACATTTTGAAGTTCTACCATTGCTGTCCTCAGAAAGGATCGCTGTGGGGCTAGTGGATATATGGTTCCCTGTAGAGTATACATACTGTCAAAATTAATATGCTATAACATATATAATATTTCACAATGTATTGGAATTTAACTTAAGGTAATAGGATTGTGTGACCATTTCTCAGTAGAAATTCTTCAAATTTTGTAGTTATATTGCTTTGAAGTAAAGAAAATTTTCTGCCACAAAAAATATATAGGTTGTCACAATTTTAAGGATTTTAAATGGAAATTTATGTAAAAAGGAGTGAATTTTGAAAAAAAAGTAAAGACGCAAATTTTTGCAAAATAATGTCGGCAATAAAAATGATACTGACATAGATTAGTATTGCATTAATGTATATCAATTTAATAAATGCTGAAATTGTGTAAAATTAATTATCTATAAACAATTAAAAATTTACATTTTATAATAAAACCATATACATACAGTAATTGCATGTAAGAGTTATAGTTCTTGAAAAACTTCACAGTAGTGAAATAGGTAGCCGGTTTCCTGAAGTACAGAACAATGGACACATGTGACTCATTGATAAAAAAACAACTGAATTAATGCCTGGATTACTTTGTAATACTTCAATACTGATAGAACACACTAATCTGTCAATAATAAACATACAATATTCATCAGCATAATATTAAACATTAGAATATGCGGAAATTGTGATACAGTCTCCCTACATTGGATTTTCAACTAGGGATGTACTTCCTATTTCCGTTTATTAATACACTCCTATGACCTTAAATATATTGGGAACTCCATATGATGAAATTTCGAAGTCAACATCTTGATATTGTGTCATAAAATGCAAAACACCAAGATATTGATACGATGATGTCTTCAAATTTAATGTGAATCAGATTTATGTTATGTCATCTATATTTCATAGCATTTCAAAGAATTGCTATTATACATTTTCCACATAATGAAGAGTACTCGGGAACAATACTAGCCCTTCACATGGAGAATCCATTTAGACTGCAGTGTTAATGTCCCTACCTTGTCACTCACTCTTAAGTACCTTGTGGGAGAATTGAAACAGCATTAATACATCCAAGAGGGTATTAATACATTTATATCTAGACTTACCAGTGATCCTTGTAATGAAATATCATGGTACAAAAGGCCATTATATATAAAGACCATTCAATATTAAAATATTGAACAGCAACAAGAACATACTTCATTTATTCTATTTATTGTATACACTTTAGAAAAGTAAAACATCTCAAGAATGTGTAGAAATGAGAAACATCCGGTACATACTTCACTACAATTATTATATAAGACAAGGTGCTCCAACATGGCTTTACCTTTATAACTTATATTGATATTAACTATGCATAAGAATCATCTTCCTAGGCCCATATTCTAAAAATACATGGTTTACACAATCAACAAATCTATGCTTCAAATATGAATAAAGGATCATAATTCTTATAAAGAGGGGCATGCATGCACACAAGACAAAATTTAAGCAAAAAACACTCCCTCTCCTAGGAAACATATATACAGTTGTGGGATTGCACAACATTACACGATGTGTGGTGTACGTGCACGCTACGTGGCTCAGTGGACGATTATTTCAGATTTCTTGCACACATTTGTGCGAACGATGGACGAACGTTGTGCGATGACAATCGTGGTTGATGTAAATTGAATGAGAAATGGCTTAACAATATATACGGTTTCGTGCCTAAACATATAAACTTGATTTCCTCGGTAAATTGTACATTTCTATATTCTAGTTACATATATATGCTGATCTTTCTATCTATACTTTCTTAACTTAGAAATGGTGTTTCTGTGGGTTTTTTAAATGACCAAAATCGACACATGTAAAATTATAGCACATATGGACATGGTCCCATATACAGGTAAACATAGCCGCATTATACATGTACCCGGACTGTAGTTATCCCCCACCCAGGGCACTTATGTAACTCGTCAAGGTGTGAAAATCCAGGTGAACGGGAGATCAAAACGAATGCAAATAACAAACACTTAACGTCCAGTTGTTTTTTAATAACAGTCATACGGTATCATACAACGGCTCTCTATGTCAGGCACAGGGTGCACGTGCCAGCTAAAACTCTGGTCACTCATCAAAATGTTATTTACCTGTTCGGTTATATTTACCTGGGAGCCAAACTGTTCTTCACAGTCTAACAGCCACTGTAATACTGTGTTACACGCATTGTAAAATTGAACATAAGTCTTAATTAATATGATGAGAAATTTATATATATGGTGTTCCTTATTCCATACGAGCCTTACAAATTTTTTCATTCCAAAATATTGATCAATCTATTGTACTAAATCACACAAGACGGGGCGAACAATTGTTAAAATTGCACAGTTGTGCACACCATGTGTGGACGATGTCCATACGGTGTGCGCACATTGTTTTTGGAGAGTTGTGTGGCCACACAACTGTACATGTATATGTTGTATATACTCAGCAAAAGAAAGATTGACATGTTATCTTGCAGAACACCAAAATATCATTGATTATGAAATGACGTTTTAGTGGCTAACGAGTTTTGGAAGGAGTATCTGTATTGATTAGCACTGTTTTAAATTAAATCCTTCATGCATGAAACTGAATAGTTGTAAGCAGAGTATACACATTCTCACAACCCTTTCCAGGTGAAAACTCACTAGAATTTATGTTAAGTTATCCGTTTAGACAATGCCACAGCTGTTTAAAGCAGAGAGAGAATGAGCTATTGGTATATGCTCCAGGTAGGGGTGACACAACGTGAATTTGCGAGATGTTTTGGGTGTAGCCTAAAAACAGTAAACCAGGGACCTTTTCATTTATGCGGAAGAACTGGTTTGTCCGTTTTAAATGTAACAATTTCAGGTATAAATCCTGGCGGACATGCAAATGTTTATGCAGGCCCTGCAAGGCTTTGTCAAGCAGCATCAGATAACTAGGTCCAACCTTATTTAATAAACAAACAACTGTGGTCCGACTGTAGTAACGACGCTGGAAGATACTTGAGGTGTTCCAAATGCTGAACCGGAAGTGACCTTCTGACGAGTGATCTCTAGCTGTGCAAGTTGGTATCTGTTAGCCATCCTACCACAAAGACCTACCCTGCCTCCCAGGAGTGTCTGGAGTCTTCCTGTGGCCTGGGAAATATATACTGGATACAGACAAGCAGGTAACTCAATCATAGCATACACTTGCTCAAATACAACATTGGTGTCGGAAGAGAGATTATGACGCTAAATTGTTCCAGAAGGAGTTCACTGTCGGGGATGTAGTGATGAAACCGAATTCGGCAACCCAGGTAGGCAGAAGCAGAAAACTGACGCCACCGTGGTGGGGTCCTTATCTGGTGACGGATGTGATAACTCCTGTCCTCAATAGAATCCATGACAGAATAATGCTCTGTGCAGATAGAAGCTTACCAGTCTGGATGCTTTGGATGAGAAACGAGTTCTTCGGATGAGAAACCAGTTCCCAAAAATCAATAAAGGACCACATCTTTGAGCAGTGAGCACAAGACCCATATTTAACATGTGACCTTTCTCCTTCCCAACCTACATAAGCTAATACATTTAATATGATACTGTACACCCCTGATAGCTATTGATAGTTATAGGGCTATATGTAGTATGCTACTAAGTTGCATGTCCTGCAATTAACCATCTGTTGTATATGTAACAGTAAGATACTTACATTGGTGTACAATTGTATATGTAACAGTAAGATACTTACACTGGTGTAGAATTGTATACGTAAAAGTTAGATACTTACACTGGTGTAGAATTGTATACGTAACAGTAAGATACTTACACTGGTGTAGAATTGTATATGTAACAGTAAGATACTTACACTGGTGTAGAATTGTATACGTAACAGTTAGATACTTATACTGGTGTAGAATTGTTTACGCAATAGTAAGATACTTAAACTCACTAGAATTTATGTTAGTAACAGTAAGATACTTACACTGGTGTAGAATTGTATACGTAACAGTAAGATACTTACACTGGTGTGGAATTGTATACGTAACAGTTAGATACTTATACTGGTGTAGAATTGTATACGTAACAGTAAGATAATTACACTGGTGTAGAATTTTATACGTAACAGTAAGATACTTACACTGGTGTAGAATTGTATACGTAACAGTTAGATACTTACACTGGTGTAGAATTGTTTATGTAACAGTAAGATACTTACACTGGTGTAGAATTGTATATGTAACAGGTATACGTAACAGTTAGATACTTATACTGGTGTAGAATTGTATACGTAACAGTTAGATACTTACACTGGTGAAGAATTGTATATGTAACAGTAATATACTTACACTGGTGTAGTATTGTATACGTAAAAGGAGGATACTTACACTGGTATAGAATTGTATACGTAACAGAAAGGTACTTACACTGGTGTAGAATTGTATACGTAACAGTTAGATACTTACACTGGTGAAGAATTGTATACGTAACAGTAAGATAATTACTCTGGTGTAGAATTGTATATGTAACAGTAGAATACTTACACTGATGTAGAATTGGATGCGTAACAGTAAGATACTTACACTGGAGTAGAATTGTATATGTAACAGTAATATACTTACACTGGTGTAGAATTGTATACGTATCAGTTAGATGGTTACACTGGTGTAGAATTGTATATGAAACAGTAGAATACTTACACTGATGTAGAATTGTATATGTAACAGTAAGGTACTTACACTGATGTAGAATTGTAAATTTAAGAGTAAGATACTTACACTGGTGTAGAGTTGTATACGTAACAGTAAGATACTTGCACTGGTGTAGAATTGTATACGTAACAGTAATATACTTATACTGGTGTAGAATTGTATACGTAACAGAAAGATAATTACACTGGTGTAGAATTTTGTACGTAACAGTAAGATACTTACACTGGTTTAGAATTGTATACATAACAGTAAGATACTTACACTGGTGTACAATTGTATACGTAACAGTAAAATACTTATACTGGTGTAGAATTGTACACGTAACAGTAAGATAATTACACTGGTGTAGAATTTTGTACGTAACAGTAAGATACTTACACTGGTTTAGAATTGTATACATAACAGTAAGATACTTACACTGGTGTGGAATTGTATACGTAACAGTTAGATACTCATACTGGTGTAGAATTGTATACGTAAAAGGAGGATACTTACACTGGTGTAGAATTGTGTACGTAACAGTAAGATACTTACACTGATGTAGAATTGTATATGTAACAGTAAGGTACTTACACTGATGTAGAATTGTATACGGAACAGTAAGATACTTACACTGGTGTGGAATTGTATACGTAACAGTTAGATACTCATACTGGTGTAGAATTGTATACGTAACAGTTAGAGACTTATACTGGTGTAGAATTGTAAATTTAACAGTAAGATACATACACTGGTGTAGAATTGTATATGTGTCAGAGTAAGATACTTACACTGGTGTAGAGTTGTATACGTAACAGTAAGATACTTCCACTGGTGTAGAATTGTATACGTAACAGTTATATACTTACACTGGTGTAGAATTGTATACGTAACAGTTAGGTACTTACACTGGTGTAGAATTGTATACGTAAAAGGAGGATACTTACACTGGTATAGAATTGTATACGTAACAGTAAGGTACTTACACTGGTGTAGAATTGTATGTGTAACAGTAAGATACTTACACTGGTGTAGAATTGTATACGTAACAGTAAGATACTTACACTGGTGTAGAATTGTATACGTAACAGTAAGGTACTTACACTGGTGTAGAATTGTATATTTAACAGTAGGATACTTACACTGGTGTAGAATTGTATATGTAACAGTAAGATACTTACACTGGTGTATAATTGTATACGTAACAGTAAGATAAAGATACTTATACTGGTGTAGAATTGTATATTTGACAGTAGGATACTTACACTGGCGTAGAATTGTATATGTAACAGTAATATACTTACACTGGAGTAGAATTGTATATGTAACAGTAGGATTCTTACACTGGTGTAGAATTGCATATGAAACAGTAAGGTACTTACACTTGTGTAGAATTGTATACATAACAGTAAGATACTTACACTGGTGTAGAATTGTATATGAAACAGTAAGGTACTTACACTGGTGTAGAATTTGGTTCCTCCATTATCACCAGCATCTACAAGGTAACAAATTACATTATATGAGCTGCAAACTTTAGATGGGTGTAGATGTATAATTAGTGATACATGCATTTCATATGAATTGATGCTGAATTTAATAAATTAACTGAAGTTTCATTCTTCTGGTTATAATATTTTCCAGAAAAAAATGTAAATTAAATATATATGTCAATACTGAACTGATAACAAAGTAAATTATGGACAGTAATACAGGTTTATAATACTTATTTTGACAACAAGTTAACAGAATTATTAATTTTCGTTAAAAAAACAAAACATTAAATATTAGCATAAAAATAGGTTTGAAAAATTATTTTGTTGTCAAACATTTTGAATTCAAGTTGGAAACAACTTTAAGGAACATCAGGGAAATGACACAACAATTGTTTGAAAATTATAAATAATCAACATGAATTATTTTTTTGCTCTCAATTTTGTTAAAACAGCTTTCAAGATCTGATGTCTCATTGAAATCATTATTCATACATACTTTTCAGGACAAGATTAAAGTACTTCCTTACAATTTTCCATATCAAGGTTTTAAGAAATATAGGACAGGACGTTCCTTTTTTAATGCAGGAATACTCCAGAAATAATCTACCTTTATGTGCATATATTTGGAAAAAATAATTAGCAGAGGCCCCTGTATTTTGTGTATTTTGTGTCAACCTCAGTTTCCATATATACAAGATGACCTAGATAATTCAGTTATTTTAATTAGGCTGTTCTATTGTTGTGTCTGGGAATATTTGTCATATACATCTGCACAACAATTGTTGTTTTTAACCATTTCTGATGTCTTTACACTTTTGTTTATTTGACTAGAAGGTACATGACATAAGATGGTACATGACACAAAAGGTACATGACATGAAGGTACATTTGTATATGTACATGACACGAAAGGTACATGACACGAAGTTACATGACACGAAGTTACAGACAGACAGACAGACCTTGATCCAAGCATGCTACTGACTAAATATCAACATCCTGAGCCTTTTGGTTATTCAGAACGAGTTGTTTAATTTTATTATTTTTTTTGAACATATTTGCTCCTTGTGAATTTGAATATGATTCAAGGTCATACATTTGAACAAACTTGGTAGCCCTTGATCGTAGTATGCTACTGACCAAATATCATCACCCTGAGCATTTTTGGTTATTCAAAAGAAGTTGTTTGAAGTTTTTAACATATTTGACCCCTGTGACCTTGAATATGGGTGAAGGTCGTTCATTTAAACAAACAAACTGTGTAGCCCTTCATCTCAGCATGCTACTGGCCAAATATCATCACCATGGGCATCTTGGTTATTCAGAAGAAGTTGTTTAATGTTTTTCACATATTTGACCCCTGTGACCTTGAATATGGGTGAAGGTCGTTCATTTAAACAAACAAACTGTGTAGCCCTTCATCTCAGCATGCTACTGGCCAAATATCATCACCATGGGCATCTTGGTTATTCAGAAGAAGTTGTTTAATGTTTTTCACATATTTGACCCCTGTGACCTTGAATATAGGTGAATGTCATTCATTTGAATAAACTTCATAGCACTTTACCCAAGCATGCTACTGACTAAATATCATCACCCTGGATATTTTGGTTATTGAGAAGAAGTTGTTTTAATTTTTTAACATATTTCATTTGACCCCTGTCACCTTGAATATGGGTGAAGGTCATTCATTTACACAAACTTTGTAGCACTTCATCTCAGCATGCTACTGGCCAAATATCATCACCCTGGGCATTTGTTATTGAGAAGAAGTTGTTTAAAGTTTTAGACATATTTGACCCCTGTGACCTTGAATATGGGTGAAGGTCATTCATTTGAACAAACTTTGTAGCCCTTCACCCAAGCATGCAACTGGCCAAATATCATCTCCCTTGGCAGTTTGGTTATCAAAAAGAAGTTGTTTAAAGTTTTTAACATATTTGACCCCTGTGACCTTGAATATGGGTGAAGGTCATTCATTTGAACAAACTTTGTAGCCGTTTACCCCAGTATGCTACTGGCCAAATATCATCACCCTGTGCATTTTGGTTATTCAGAAGAAGTTGTTAATTGTTTTTCACATATTTGACCCCTGTCACCTTGCATATAAATGAAGGTCATTTATTTGAACAAACTTGATAGCCCTTTACTCCAGCATGCTACTGACCAAATATCATCACCCTGGATATTTTGGTTATTGAGAAGAAGTTGTTTAAAGTTTTTAACATATTTGACCCCTGTCACCTTGAATATGGGTGAAGGTCATTCATTTGCACAAACTTTGTAGCCCTTCATCTCAGCATGCTACTGGACAAATATCATCACCCTGGGCATTTTGGTTCTTGAGAAGAAGTTGTTTAAAGTTTTAAACATATTTGACCCCTGTGACCTTGAATATGGGTGAAGGTCATTCATTAGAACAATCTTTGTAGCCCTTCATCTCAGCATACTACTGGCCAAATATCATCACCATGGGCATTTTGGTTATTGAGAAGAAGTTGTTTAAAGTTTTAAACATATTTGACCCCTGTGACCTTGAATATGGGTGAAGGTCATTCATTTGAACAA